GCATAAAAGTTGTTATTATACAGTATATCTCGCCATAGGGTCCCAAGAAAGGCAGTGGTAAGGTTCAACCTAAGAAAATAGTTGTAAGTAGAGGCAGTGGAGGACGTCCCTTCCTCATTAAGAAAATGTGTGAAGTATGGGAAGAACTGCAAAGTTTTGTTGAAAAAATCACCCAGATAAAGCTGTAGCAGGCCGTTGCATTGACCTTTTAAATGACAATGTGATGTCTTACTACAGACAAGTGTTAAAATGTAGGGAAAAACCAGTGTCTTTAGACAGTTTCTTAGTAAGACAAGCAAGCAGTGAGCCATAAGCAGGTCGTAGTGGTATGCAGGCAAAACGTGCCAGAGAGTGCACACCAGAGAAGTCCTCACTGCCTGATGTTATAATGGAAGGGGACTTCCCTTCCAAACAGTAACACCTCTCCTCCTCCCCTCACCATCTTCCATACGCCAACAGGGGTCATTAGCAAAGGTAAGTAATAACTTAAACATACTTTTGTAGTTAAGATTTGGATGAATTAGGTATAAAATTTAGTTTGAAGTGAAGTTTTTGGCGAGTCAGGAACGAATTAATTGATTTCCCATTATTTCTTATGGGGAAATTCGCTTCAGTTTACGAATTTGCGGGTTACAAACCGTCTCCAGGAACAGATTAAATTCTTAAACCGAGATACCCCTGTATATATATAATACATATTTTATTTTCTATGATAGTTGTTGTATTTATAGCATGTATATTGCCATATAAAATCCACTTTTAAATGAATAGAACTGCACACTAATTCACCTAGCTGCCAATACTAGAGATGATGATGTTGCTTGTAGCCTGATTAGATGCTCTATCGCAGCTTGACTACTTTATACGTTTGTCTGCCACTTAGCACCAATATCATGCTCTTATCACCCAAGAAAACGGACTCATACCAATGGAGCTATGCAACCCAACGCACCCTCCCTCCCTCCCTTCCACCGTTACATCATTCTCATTAACATTTTCATGCGTGGCGCGTGAGCGCCGCAGACTTTGACGTCGTGGGGCGGATGGTGCAAGCGAGCGTGCGGCGACGCTTAAATGTGTATACTCGTTTCAGTTTTCACACCTTAATTCTCGTGCTACGTTGTTCGTTTGGTATCATTGTGTTTGCAATTAAATTCCTTGCAGGTGTATATGCATATAATGTCCAAAAGCCTGGAGAGACTGCCCACAGCAAAGCCTAAAGTCGGAAAAGTTACCAGTGAGCACACAAAATCAGTAAAATGTGTATACTGTACTCGTTTCAGTTTTCTCACCTTAATTCTCGTTACGTCGTTCGTTTTGGTATCATTGTGTTCACAATTAAGTTCCCTGCAGGTGTATATGCATATAATGTCCAAAAGCCTGGCGAGACTTCCCGCAGCAAAGCCTAAAGTTACCCGTGAGGGAGCACCAATTTGCACACTACAATCTAATGTGTACAGTATACTCGTTCAGTTTGATAACATCAATTTTCGTGTTACATCGCTCGTTTTGGTATCAAATTGTTCGCAATATAAAGGTGCGCATTTTAAAACTAGTCTCATAATAATAGCACAATAACTGGAATTTTAACAAATATTTTAATTTTGGACGCTCATCATCACAATTATTTATATCTTTCCAGTGTTCTGACATCAATTTTTGTGTTACGTCGCTCGTTTTGGTATCAAATTGTTTGTAATATAAAGGCACGCATTTTAAATCTAGTCCCATAATAATAGCACAATGAATAGAATTTTAACAAATATTTTAAAATTTAGACCCAAAAACGTATTTATAATCTTTCAAGTGTTCTGACATCAAGTTTCGTGTTACATCTTTCATTTTGGTATCAAATTGTGCGCATTCTAAAGGCGCTTATTTTGAAACTATCCTGAGGTCGATCTGATAAAAAATTTATTTTATACATATATTTTTGGAGTGGACGCGAGTCCTGTCCACGGCTAGGAATCAAGAGAAAAAAGTGGATGTGATTGGTGTCAAAAGCGAGCGATAGTGTTAATTATGTAATTATGTTTCAGGTCCTCATTTTTACCGTACCTAAGTACCTGGAATTTATCACTGTTAACACTTTCGCCCGGATGACGCAGCATTTCGTCATCCACTTTAAATAATCACCAAAAATCAGGTTTTTATCAGATTTTTTTGGGCTGGTTTTAAAATGCGCGCCGATGTTTTCCCATTTTCTTTGTTGCGCCTCGTGGCCCACAGGTGGCTCGGCACACGCCGTCGGCCCATTGTTTTCGCTCCACTGTTGTGACCGGTGTCGCCTCCCCTTGCATCTCAAACGTGTGAACATTTCGGCTATTTTCCGTGGCTATATTTCTTACTGCGGCTTTAGAAACTATCTACGCTTACTCCACGATGGATAGTGATCATGAACAAGGCCCTTCCAGGAAGAAAATTGCGAAAGAAAGGCTTGAAAAGGGCGGGAATTGGGAGTGTAGCTGGAAGGCGTCTGAGCGCTTACTCGCGGCTAACGCGTGGCCCGTCTTCAATTCGTCGGCGGTTGGAGCGTGACCAGGTTTTTTATTTTATATGCTAATGTTCCTCTAGAGAATTCTATTGCGAACCCATTGAGACCAAAATAAAAGACCTAGGACGAAAATTGAGGTGACTAGAGTGAAAATAGTGAAAACATTTTATCGCGTTTGCGCGCTCCTGGGTAACTCGTTCGCACTTTCTCTGTTTGCTGCGGGTAATTAGCCGTGCTTTTGGAGTTTATATGCATTTAGTGCTGTAGAGAATTCTATTGCGAACCCAATGATACCAAATTTAATCTCGTAGGACGAGAATTAAGGTGACAAAAGTTGGAGAGAGTATACACTTTTCAGAATTTACGCGCGCTCCCATGAAACCCTGGGACCCAAATCGCACAGTTGAGGGGTGGCGCGTGGGGTACGCCAAAGTGTTAAACATCATGCTATTTTCAGTTCCTTAGTCAAAAACTTTATTAATATCTGATTGGAGTTTTTCAATGTCTTCAGCAGATGTAATTTTCATGCTGATTTTTTTGTCATCTGCAAAGGATGATACAAAGCTGTGACATTTTGTCTATATTTGATATGAGAGTAAGGAAAAGTAATGGTGCAAGACTGTACCCTGGGGTATAGAGCTTTTAACTGCGCTTGGACTCTATTTTATTTGGTTGACTGTTACTCTTTGTGTTATGTTCAACAGAAAATTTAGTATCCAATGTCCTACTTTACCAGTTATTCCCTTGACCTCATTTTCTGTGCTATCACTCCATGGTCACATTTATTGAATGCCTTTCCGAAGTCCATGAATACCACATCTGCATACTGTTTTTCCTCCAATGCCTCAGTGATTTTGTTGTAGTGGTGAAGTAGCTGTGAGAGGCATGATCTTCCCAGTCTAAATCTTCATTGGCCTGGGTTGTGGAGGTCATTGGTCTCCATGAAACTGGTGACCTGACTCATGATCACTCTCTCAAATACTTTTATTATGTGGGACGTTAGTGCAAGTAGTCTATAATTCTTTGCCAATGATTTGCTTCCTCCCTTGTGTAGAGGGGCTATGTCTGCTGATTTAAGGGCATTTAGTATCTAACTCATGTCCAAGCTTTTCCTCCATGCTATACAGAGTAAGGGCATTTAGTATCTAACTCATGTCCAAGCTTTTCCTCCATGCTATACAGAGTGTCTGTGCTACTGGCACTTTGCATTTTTTCATAAATATTAAATTTCACCCTGGGCTGAGTGCATGGGCATATTGCCAATTTCTATTTCAAAATCTGCCACGCTCGTGTTGATATCAGTTATATTTACAGGGGTTTGGATATCACGCATAAAGACGTTATCCCGATCTTCCACTTTCATGCAGTTTATTGAGGTGCTAAACATGTCCTCATACTGCTTTTTTTAGGATTTCACTAATTTCTTTGTTATCCTCAGTGTATGAACCTTCACTCGTACGAATAGGTCCAATACTGGCAGTGGTTTTTGCTTTTATTTTCACATATGTGAAGAAATATAGTGGTTTTTTTCTTTATTTTTTTTTAATTTCTTTCTGTTCTAGTTGCCTTTCTTCAATCTGATATGAATGCTTTAGTCTCTGCTCATTTTCTTCAATCTCCTTGTTTAAATTATTCCTTCTTTGTAGAGAAAGTCGTGTCTGCTTAAGCATTTCCATTATTTTTTCTTTCCTTCGTAGTGTTGTCTGCGTTCTCTTTCCACGTCGGACCTCTTTCTGGCTTTCCTCAAAGGAACAGGTTTCAGGCAGACTTAATATGCTTCAGATGTCAGTTTTCTATTCCCTGTGTAGGATATTTATTACTCAGAACAGTTTCCCATTGAATGTAAGTAAGTTCCCTGTCTATTTTCTCCCTGCCTATCAGTTCAACCACTTGGGCTGGACGATAGAATGACGGTCTCGCTTCATGCAGGTCGGCGTTCAATCCCTGACCGTCCAAGTGGTTGGGCACCATTCCTTCCCTCCCCGTCCCATCCCAAATCCTTATCCTGATCCCTTCCCAGTGCTATATAGTCGTCATGGCTTAGCACTTTCCCGACAATTCCTTTCCCTTCTCTTCCCTGCCAAACATTTTATTATTAAAATTGAGTTTACTGAATACTCCTCTCACTTGATCATTGTTTTAGGTCTATTCCAAGTATTGATGGTAGTTTGCACTTCAATGAGCCTGTGACCTGAGATTATAATGTCCCTGATTATGTCTTCATTGTTTGTGAAGACCAGATCTAGAATAATTTCATTCCTAGTTGGCTTTGATATCTGCTGGATGAGTGAAAATTTGACACAGAATCAAAGTACTTCTCTAATCTGTGGTTGGTTGTGTCCTGATAGATTTCTTGTATAATATTATTGTTTGCTATTCTCCATGTTAGACTAGGCAGGTTGAAGTCACCTAGGAAGATAATATCAGGTACCTCACTTGACATGTTTCTCATTCTTTATAGAGGGATAAATGTGTATCAATAATGTCTCATATTTACTATACTTACATTAGAGGAAGTAACCAAGTGATTTTCATGATTTGGTGACCAGTCTAGGCCTTGAATTTTTGACAAGTGAGCAGCAATGTATTGAGCTGGTTGGCTAGTTTTGCGGTTATCCCACACTCTGATATTGCAGTCGTGGCCAGATGCTAAGAAGTTACGGTTGAGCTTGTTCCATTTTACTTGAGATGCCCCAGCTGGAAGGAGACAAGGTAAGAATTAACTATACATGTTTTGATTGCATAAAAATGATACAAAAAAAGATATCCTTGGTTTTTTATGGCAGCATATTTCATGGTACAAACAATACTATGAAATAATCATAAAACAGTGCAGCATAAATTATAACCTATAAAAATATTAAGTATACAGCAATTCATCAAATTAAAATAGAATGGTTATTAGCCTGTGGCTGATTGCTCAGCTGGTAGTTAGCAGAGCACTGATTGATGTTATTTGATTTCACTTTTCATTTGGAAGTGGATTTAATGTCTGTTCTTTTTTATGACAGAAAAAGTTGGATGCTCAAGTTAGATTTGTTAATGTCTCCCTTCCACAACTACATGACCCAACTACAGTATTTGGTTACTGGTCATGGTGGATGAACATGTCACTGGAGCCTGGCAAGTGAAATATGTCTCAGTGGACTTAGAACACTGTCTCAAGTAAGCAATTAAGGAGGAGCCTTTGCTAAGATATGATATACACAAAGTCTGTTTATAAAAACCAAGTGTGTCAGCTCAGCCTACTGAATATCATAAATAATATTGTGGTCACTGAGAAAATCACCTGGAGCTCTGGGGTGACTGCAACCGAGAGAATCCCAGCCACTGACGCTAACAACTGCACCACCTTGACTTGGAAAAAGTCATACAACCTGTGATTTCAGTAGAAATCTTGAAGTCTGGAGTCCTCAACTGAAGCCAGTCCAAGTTTTATGTATAACTCCCAAGCACTCTGGTGTATTGGGGAATTGTGGTCACTCTTAATTAATATAATGATACAAAATACAACTAGTTAAATATTTACCAATAGCTGAAAGCGAAGCAACTGGCTTGCGAGTTTCTCTGGTGTCCCATATGTGAACAAAAGTGTCGATGGAACAAGTTGCTAAAATATGGGGGTCAAATCGGTGCCAATTTAGATCTGTGATGGTCCGTGTGTGAGCTCGGAGAGAAGTAGTCCCATTCAGACTTCCTTCCGTCCACTGACATATTTCTGCTCGTTCACCTGACTATAAAATGAATAAATAGTTACTATGGCATTTCAGAGTCAATATGATTAAAACTAATTCGTAAAGAAATTTGTGTAATAAAATACAAGAAAAACAATTACAGGTACAGTGTACTTCAAATTTTTTATTGTATGTGTGCGTGTGTATGTTTCCCCCACGTAATTACCCGTGTAAAAAAATGTAGTTACAGGATGAGAGCTACACTCGTGGTGTTCCATCTTCCCAGCACACTGTCATATAACGTATTGATACTACTGACGGTTTTAGCCTCTCCCACCACCTCACTTGACTTGTTCCAATTGCCTACCACTCTGTTTGCAAAAGAAAATATTCAAATATTTTTTCAGCACCTTTGTTTCTTTAGATTGAGTCTATGATCTCTTGTTCTTGAGGTTGTCGGTTTCAGGAATTCTTCTTTGTTAATTTGGTTGATTCCTGTTATTATTTTGTAAGTGGTGATCATATCACCTCTTTTTCTTCTGTCTTCCAACCTTTGGCATATTTAATGCCTCTAGCCTTACTTCATAACTCTTGCTTTTCAGTTCTGGAAGCCATTTTGTAGCATGCCTTTGCACTTTTTCCAGTTTATTGATATGCTTCTTGAGATTTGGGCACCATACAACTGCTGTATATTCCAATTTTGGTCTCACAAAAGTCATGAACAGTTTTTTAGTACAGGTATATATTTCACCATCCATGTAATTGAAAGCAAGTCTGAAGTTGGAAAGTGCATCATATGCTCCTCTCACACTGTCCATTGTGTGTTCCTCTGGTGACATTCTACTAACCATAACCACCCCTAGATCTCTTTCTTTGTTATAGTTCTTTAATTCCTTTCCACATAATTTGTAGGTTGTGTGAGGTGTACTTTCTCCTATTTAACATTCCATAACATGGCATTTATTTACATTGAATTCCATTTGCCACATGGTGCTCCAAGCACTTAGTTCATCTACATCAATTTGCAGGGCATGACAATTGTCTGTCTCTTATCTTTCTTAGTAGCTTAGCATTATCAGCAAACATGATGATGTATTTCTGTATTCCTTCTGGTAGATCATTTATGTAGATGATGAACATCACTGGTGCAAAGACTGAACCCTGTGGTACTCCATTAGTAACACTCCTCCAACTAGATACATTGTCTCTGATTACTGCTCTTTATCTTTCTGAAAATGTTTCATCCGTGTCAGCGGTCTCCCTGTCACCTGTCCAACATGTTCCAGTTTCCAAAGCAACCTTCTGTGTGGGACTGTCAAAAGCCTTTTTCTTAGGTCCAAAAAACAGTCAACCCAACCAAAAATTAATAAACTCTAATAAATTTGAGTTTATTCATTTTTGGTCTTTCCCGGTGAAAAGTTAGTGGGACCTTTGAGTTAGCCCAACTCAAAAGGCACTAACTCAAATAGGGGTGGGTGCCAAAGAACTAGGATTACCAAGAGTATACAGAATCTTTATTCATAAAACTACAGTGCTACAAAATCCCATAACTGGATTAGCAGTACTGTAAAGTGCTTTCAGAGATGAACTGAAATACTAGTACATTGATCTAATCTAATTTTTATTCAATATTTACAGTAATTTTATTTCACATCATAATTTTTATCTTCTAAATTTTAATCTCTTTGTACAGTACTTGTTATTGAACCGCAAGAATACTTAGCAACTAATCATTAGATATACTAGATAGATATATGCTCCAATTCTCTTTATCACATTGAGACACCACTTGCACAAATGACAGGACCGTCCAACACGTACATAACATACACCCCACACAACCTATAAATTATGTGAGAAATCTTTAAAGAATTCTGACAAAGAAAGGAATCTAGGAGTGGTTCTAGATAGAAAACTGTCACCTGAAAACCACATTAACACTTTCGCGCTCTCCGCAAAGGTCACTCAGCCAACCGAATGTGCGCGCTGCGTTTTTATCGCTTAAGCGTAAAAACAAAAATGTGTATACTCTTTTTACTCTTCTGACCTTAGTTCTCATACTACGTATTTCATTTTGGTACCAACGTGTTCGCAATAAAATTTTCTAGAAGAACATCAGTAAAAAAAGTCACGAAACGTATAGGGATACCAGTACCAAATAAATAACTACGAAGATGACTCGCCGTGAGCGCCCATCAGCAACAAAATGTTTTTACTCTTGGGATTGTAATCACCTCCACACTTGTTCTACAGCGTTAATTTTGGTATCAATGGACTCGCAATGAAATTCCCAACACGGTGATATGAATATAAGCGTAGAATAATGATTGCGGCCCGCCCGCAAGAGTGTGGGAACTGGTGAAATTGTTACCCGGTATCGGTGACGGGACGACGCACGGCGCTTTGAAAGTTTATACTTATTTCACTCTCATGACATTAATTTTCTATGTACGTCATTCATTTTTGTGTCAATGTGTTCGCAATAGAATGTTCTATGTGCCCATAGGTAAAAAATATCAACAAAGCGTAAGTTAGAATAGCGCCAAATATAAAACAACGCTGGAACATATCAGTGAGCGTCAAACACACACGAAATGTTTTTACAGTACTTTTGTTATGTTTGTCAAGTTTATACTTGATGCACACAGTTATTTTTGGTTGTATATTGATCGGAATAAAATTCCCTAAACAGACATATGCATATAATACATGATATGGGGGAAGCATTACCAGTATAAACGGCTAAAGTCACCCACCTGCAACCCGTTTGGGACAAAATACCATTTGATCGAAGTTATCCACACCTTTCATGAACTTATTGTACCATGCAGCCTAGTGGTGAGAAAGAGAGCCTCATAGCGCGCAGTTTAAAACAAACCCAAAGTAAATCGGATAAAAATTGAATTTTATACAAATATTTTAAAAGTTGACATAACTTTATGTCCACTATGCGTTTACGTTAGACGAAACCGGACGCGCCAGCGCATTCAGATAGCGCGAAAGTGTTAAGAACATTGTGCAAGGAGCCTATGCTACACTTTCTAACTTCAGAATTGCTTTTAAATACATGGATGGAGAAATACTAAAGAAATTGTTCACGACTTTTGTTAGACCAAAGCTGGAATATACAGAGGTTGTATGGTGCCCATATTTTAAGAAGCACATCAACAAACTGGAAAAGGTGCAAAGACATGCCACTAAGTGACTCCCAGAAATGAAGGACAAAAGCTACAAGGAGAGGTTAGAGGCATTAAATATGCAAAAAGTAGAAGATAGAAAAAAAGAGGCGATATGATCACTACATACAAAATAGTAACAGGAATCAACAAAATTGATAGGGAAGAATTCCCGAGACCCAGAACTTCAAGAACAAGGGGTCATAGATTTAAACGAACGAAACAAAGCTGCCAGAGAAATACAAGAAAATTCACTTTTGTAAACAGAGTGGTAGACAGTTGGAACAAGTTAGGTGAGAAGGTGGTAGTGGCCAAAAGTGTCAGTAATTTTAAAGTGTTATATGACAAAGAGTGTTGGGAAAACGGGACACCACGACCGTAGCTCTCATCCTGTAACTACACTTGGGTAATTACGTTGTCCCACTAAGCCCACAACTGGTCTCGGGCTCACTTTTAATTAATTCCACTGTTGAAGCCTCGTGTTAACCAAAATACCACACAAAATCAAATTTGAAATACAGTAATAGCAAACATTCATTAATCATCACACCATTTTACTAAAGAGTAATAATATAGCACAATTAGATTATAGGTATTAAACAAAAAAACAAGAAATTAAATTTTTTACATATAATGGAAAGATTTTTTTTTTGGGGGGGGGGGGAAGATGGGATCCAAGACCCCATCTCTTCTTGCACAGATGTAATGCTGATTGCACCATATAATAGTGGGCAGTGCAGTGGGGTCACCATATTATACCACTGATCTCAAACAATCTACAGAATACGGTATACACAGGTACAGGATACTAATATTGTATAATCAACATAATCTATATAACATTTTAATATAATCTATAAAATATTAATATAAAATATAAAAATATAATCCCAATACAGTACATAAAAAATAATATCATATAGCCTCCCGCAAAACATGACAAAACCTTCACTGGTGGGGAGGGAATTATCAGGGAAAAGTGCCAAGCCATTACGACTAAACAGCCCTTGGAAAGGGTGAAGATAAGGATTTAGGATGGGAGAGGGGAAAGGAATGGTATCCATTCCATTCTGAAGCAATGGACACCATTCTGGAGTTAACTGGAGCAATGCATTTACTGTACTGTACTTCAACTTGTAGTGTACCCTAAAAAAATTCTTAATTTTCACTTTCACATGAATATTTTGGGGAAGAGTAGACAGTGACCATTTTCACACAATACATGGGGTTATTCATGTAGCCTCCATCTACAAGTGACCACACAAAAGATAAATACGTATGCTAACAACTACAAACGAAAAAGTGAAACAATTTATTATGCTGTAGAATAAGTTGTTATATGGATAGTACGTTTTTCACCTTCACACAATTTACACTCATATAAAGCCTTTCCTGTTACAAATACTTTAACATGAAGGCAATATAAACATAATATTACCGCTAAAAAGTTAATCAAATCAACATGTCTGCCAACCTACCGCAAGAACAAAAGTGTGTCCCTGGGACTGAATTGGATTCCACTCTGCAGCTGTCACATCATATTTTTGCCGAGTCCTGCTAACTCTCTTGACAACTTCGGATGGTTTGTCCAGGGATATAAGTGCAAGATTCCGGCGTCTGTAAAATATTTACAATGATTAATGAAGAATATGAACTACTGGGAATATTTATTGGCAACAGAGCATGTGTGAAAAATTTTGGTGCAGCTATGAAGAGAAGGATGATTAAGTTTGTTTCAAGCATTAAGAAACTTACTCATATAGGTGACAAAGAACACTAAATTTACATTCTTTACAGTTAATGAATGAAGGAGTTCAGTAGGAACACAATAAATAAAGTTAATAATAATAACTTATTGTGTCGGGGAATAGGCCACCAGTTTATACATATGGTACATGTTAGTTATATTTCGAGGTGGTCCCCAGGGTCAAATTATTAACTGCCCTTTCCCTAAAGGATGCAATCCCACAAAGTTGACTAACTCCAGGATACCTATTTACTGCTAGGTAAACAGAAACACTAGGTGATACAACACGCACACTAGGAAATGCATCCAACTGTTTCTGTCCCACCTGGTATTCAAATCCGGAATTCTTGATAGTGAGTTGTAAATGAACCCAACTATACTACCGGGATGCTTAACACTATCGGTCACTTTGGACCGGACTCTCGTCCATTATTTTCCTCCTGAGTTCTAACTTTGGACCGGACTTGCGTCCACTACAAAAATATTTGTATAAAATTCATTTTTTATCCAATCGACCTAGGAATAGTATCAAAATAAGCGCCTTTAGAATGCGCACAATTTGATACCAAAATGAAAGATGTAACATGAAACTTGATGTCCGGACACTTATATGATTATAAATAGGTTTTTGGTCAAAATTTTAAAATATTTGTTAAAATTCTATTTATTGTGCTATTATGTTGGGACTAGTTTTAAAATGCGCGCCTTTATGTCGCAAACAATTTGATACCAAAATGAAAGATGTAACACAAAAATTTATGTCAGAACACTGGAAAGATATAAATAATTTTGTGATGATGAGCTTCCAGAATTAAAATATATGTTAAAATTCCAGTTATTGCTCTATTATTATGGGACTAGTTTTAAAATACGCGCCTTTTTATTGCGAACAATTTGATACCAAAATGAAAGACGTAACACGAAAATTGATGTAATCAAACTGAACGAATATACACATTAGGTTGCAGTATACAAATTGGTGCTCATTCACGGATAATTTTAGGCTTTTCTGCGGGGAAGCACTCAAGGCTTTTGTACATTATATTCATATACATCTGTAGGGAATTTAATTGCGAACACAATGATACCAAAACGAGCGACGTAGCACGAGAATTAAGGTGAGAAAAATGGAACGAGTATGCACATTTTACTGATTTTGTGTGCTCACAGGTAACTTTTGCCGACTTTATGCTTTGCTGTTGGGAGTCACGCCAGGCTTTTGGACATTATATTTATACACACCTGTAGGGAATTTAATTGTGAACACAATGATACCAAAACAAACGATGTAGCAACAGAATTAAGGTGAGAAAACTGAAACGAGTATACACATTTAGGCGTCGCCGCACGCTCGCCCGCACCATTGGGGCCATGACGTCAAAGTCTGCAGCGCGCTCGTGGGGTGCGCGATAGTGTTAAGTATCAACTCAAAACAGAATTTGAAACAAATAAATGAAATGGAATGTTTAGTTTTAGAATAGAAATAGACAGGCACATGTTTGGAAATAGGGTTACAGTAAGGAATGAGCTACACAGTAACAATATCAGATGCAAATTCATTCTTTCAATAATAAATTGGACAAATAATTTAAAAATCATTTTGTCGGGCAACAAGCAACCAGTGTATAGAGTATCACATGTTAAGCTCATCTTGAGGTATCTCCCAAGGTTAAACTGCTGACCCTCCTCAGGACACAACCCCACAACAAGCTAACTCCTGGGTACTTATTTACTGCTAGGTGAACAGGTTCATTAGATGATAGGAAACACACCCAACTATTTCTGTCCCACCTGGAATTCAAACACGGAATTTCTAACTGCGAGTCGAGAACGAATCCGACTGTACTACCAGGATGGAAATAAATTGCTGCTGCTTTATCAATAATACAATAATACATGGATCAATACAGTATACCTATAGCAGTTTCTCATATACTGTACTGTATATTAATGTACTTACCCTGCTAGAAGAGTGTATTCACCACGCCAGTCCAGTGCCATAGCATTGGCCTGTAAAGAAATACTTCATATTTTAGAGAACTTATATCTCATAATATTCCAAACTATATTAAGGTGATCCAAGGGCAAAGAATTAGGGGTGACATAGTAGAGGTGTACAAATGGATGAATGGGCATAACAAAGGGGATATTAATAACGTAATAAAAGCATCAACTCAAAATAGAACACAAAACAATGGGTATAAATTGGATAAGTTTAAGCAGATGAGGAGTCACAATAACATGGCTGAAAAATGTTGCCCAAACCACGCACTAGAAAGTGAAGAGACGACGACGTTTCGGTCCGTCCTGGACCATTATCAAGTCGATTATCAAGTTGAAGAAGTTTAGATTTAGGAAAGACCTGGGTAAATACTGGTTCGGTAACAGGGTTGCCGTTTTGTAGAACAAATTACCATGTAACATAATAGAAGTAGGATCCCTCAATTGTTTCTACCGAAGGTTTGAAAAATATATGAATAAGATTGGGTAGATATAAATAGGAGCTGACTCGAATGGGCCAATAGACCTTCAACAGTTACCTTCACTCTTATGTTATGTTCTTGTATGCTGTACATTTACTGTACAGGTACAGTATATAGATTATAGCAGATCAAGAGTTACTCAGAAAGTATGTCATTTTAGGCCATCATGTTTCAGAACAAAGTGGTGTAACAAGTGCAGGGCGGTGAAAGGGTTACCATGAGGTAAGACCGCTAAAAGGAGCCGCAGAGTGACTAGGACGGTACAAGGAGCCGCTGGGAGGGTAGGACGGTACAAGGAGCCGCTGGGAGGGTAGGACGGTACAAGGAGCCGCTGGGAGGGTAGGACGGTACAAGGAGCCGCTGGGAGGGTAGGACAGTACAAGGAGCCGCTGGGAGGGTAGGACGGTACAAGGAGCCGCTGGGAGGGTAGGACGGTACAAGGAGCCGCTGGGAGGGTAGGACGGTACAAGGAGCCGCTGGGAGGGTAGGACGGTACAAGGAGCCGCTGGGAGGGTAGGACGGTACAAGGAGCAGCAGGGTGGGTAGGATGGTACAAGGAGCAGCAGGGAGGGTAGGATGGTACAAGGAGCCGCTGGGAGGGTAGGACGGTACAAGGAGCCGCTGGGAGGGTAGGACGGTACAAGGAGCAGCAGGGTGGGTAGGACAGTACAAGGAGTAGCAGGGTGGGTAAGATTGTAATGATCTGAGACCCATATAACCCAATGTTCCACAGTATTAACCCTGTTATCTTGTGATCTCTCGTAATCGTTCTGCACGCTCTGTGTTGTAAATCTCTCTCTCTTCACTCAATACCCCAGCTCAACACTGTTACAGTCCCGTATGACCCCTCACTGGACGGCCACGTATATAAGAGGAATATTAAATGAGGAAGATACATCAAGGACAAGGGTTATTAGTTAAAAAAAAACAATAACAAAACTCATTAAACACTGCCACCACCTTCCCGACCAACCATACCTGAATGTCTCTATCACCGATCCCCCAGGAAGGCAAGGAATCAGTAATCATGGGACTCCCAGGGAAGTATGAATTTCAGTAATAATGTGGGGAAATTAGTTTGTTTAATTTACGTTACATATTTAAATCCAAGGGCAACTTTAGTATCTATTAATTGTAGGAGAACATGGGGGTTTCCAATTCAACACCAAAAAATGACAAAGTAGCATAATATATCAAAGGGGAGTTAAGTGAATACCACTGGACAAGTTATACAATTTATTTTATGAAACATGTAAATTAAGACAATTTGAACATATACCCTATTCTATTCCCCTAGAGGCACAATGGATATTTACTGAGGACACGAAACTCAAGTGCACTATACCTTAAATAACCGCACTAAGGCCAAGATGTTGTAGCGAGTAGATTATCCCAATAATATACTCGCTCCAAATGCATTGTTAATATTCCTGTCAACCTTTGGAGATGAATGAGGTGAGGCGTTGCCCAGGCAACACGGTGAGGCGTTGCCCGGGCAACACGGTGAGGTGTTGCCCGAGCATATAAGCAGCGGAGTAGCGAACATTGGCTAGTCTACTTTCAAGTGTGGTCTAGAGCAGACACTTGCGAGATACTGTACCGACGCTCAGTGCGCTCAACTCACACCAAAGTATCACCTGTGTACTTCTGTATATTCGACCAAATATATATATAGTATCTTAGTGTCTGTGTTTATTTGTCACCATACTTTACGTAACAATAGAACCGTTACATTGGTGACCCAGTGAGTGAAAAAGAACACCTAGTCACAAACTAGATCTTCGCCATGGATTTATCTACCAGGTTTCCAGCATACAACGCAGATGAGCCAGAATTTTGGTTCATGCAGATGGAGGCTATTTTCGACCTTCACGAAATTTCGACTGAGAAAGCCCGATATGCCTGTACCCTGCCAACACTTCCCTCGGAGGCTATGCACACTGCCTCCGCTGTCATCACCGCGCCATCACCGGACACCAGGACGTACACTGCATTGAAGGCCGCTCTTCTACAGGCAGCAATGAAACGCCGCATTCAACAAAGGGACCAACTCCTCACTGACAAAAGATTAGCAGACAAAACACCAGCTCAGCTTCTGCGGCATATTCAGTATGTGATGCATACTGCAACTGGCCCAGCCCCCAGCGAGATTGTGAGATCACTGTGGATACAACTCTGTCCAAAACACATTCAACCGGCCCTATTCAGTATGGCTGACGACACCCCATTAGCCCAGCTGGCTACACTGGCAGACCGGCTTCATACGACGTCTGATAACGCTACGCTGTCCCACCTCAGTGATACACAGCAGACTACAGACACCCAACAACTCGACGTCCTCCAGAACCGGCGTTTCTTCCACCCAGGGAAAACGTACCATGCGAATCCAGTATCAGTCTCTAGGCGACAGCGAGAACGTCGGGGAGAGCTTTGTTCTTACCACCAGAAGTTCGGACACCAAGCCCGCAACTGTAGGGCTCCTTGTTCCTGGTCGGGAAACTACTTCGGCGGGGACTGTTAACGGCCAGTGACCCCGCCATTTCAAACACTACACTGCTCTACATATCTGACGTCATAACCAAACGCCGTTTCCTCGTTGACACAGGTGCAGCAGCTAGCGTGTTGCCTCCCCCACTGGTCAAACCAACCCGTACTCCTGGTTTGGACTTACGAGCCGCCAATGGTACGTCCGTCCGTACATATGGGACCCGCGCCCTGGTTCTCGAGTTCGCCTCTCTGGGTCGCTTTACGTGGACTTTCCTCATAGCGGATGTGGAACAACCCATTCTTGGATGGGATTTCCTGCAACACCATCGACTTATGGTGGATCCCGCAGGTGCAGTACTTCGAGCCTCTCCTAGTACCTCTACACAAGTTAACATCGTCACCCCAGTCGCATCTACGGAACTTCAAGCACTCCTGGATGAATTCAAAGATGTGACCCAACCCGCCAGCCCTCGACCAGAGGTGCAACATACGATTACGCATCACATTACTACAACGGGAGCACCTACCTTCGCCAGACCACGCCGCCTGGCACCGGAACGACTGGCGGTAGCACGTGCTGAATTCAATAAGCTACAGGAGGCGGGAATAATCCGCCCTTCGAACAGTCCATGGGCTTCACCTCTCCATATGGTCCCGAAAACAGCCCCAGGGGAATGGCGCCCTTGCGGAGACTACAGGGCTCTCAACGTTCGCACTCTGCCGGATCGCTACCCAATACCACACATCCAGGATTTCTCACAGGGATTGAGCAACGCAACCGTTTTTTCGAAAATTGACCTTGTGCGGGCATTTCACCAGATCCCTGTGGAACCGGCAGACATTCCGAAAACAGCGATCACAACACCTTTTGGACTGTTTGAATTCGTCCGGATGCCTTTTGGTCTACGGAATGCAGCCCAGACATTCCAACGCTTCATCGACCAAGTAGTTAAGGACCTTCCTTTTTGCTACGCCTACATTGACGATCTGCTGGTGGCCAGTACATCACCAACAGAACATCTGCTACACCTCCGACTCCTTCTCACCCGTCTGCGCAACTTCGGCTTGCAGCTCAACTCCGAGAAGTGTATTTTCCATGTTCCAGAGCTGGATTTCTTGGGACACCGTGTGTCAGCAGCAGGGGTCCAACCACTAGAGAAGAAAATCGAGGCAATCAAGGAATTCCCGCGCCCATCTACTCCAAAGAAGTTGCAAGAATTTCTTGGTGTAGTGAATTTTTATCATCGATTCATCCCACATTGTTCGGACATCTTGCGACACTTATACGACCTCTTACGTGGTCGGAAACTCACGTCCCGTCTTCCGTTGGAGTGGACTCCCCAGGCAGAGACAGCATTCACCGACATAAAACACAAGCTGGCGGAATTCACCTTGCTCGCACACCCAGTGTCTGACGCTCCCACCAATCTATCTACCGACGCTTCAAACACAGCAATTGGTGCTGTACTACAACAGCTCGTTGAAGGAGAATGGCGCCCAATTGCATTCTTTTCAGCGCGCCTGTCACCCACTGAAGAGAAGTACAGCACTTTTGATAGGGAACTGCTCGCCATCTACTCAGCCATACAACATTTCCGGCACTTTCTCGAGGGGCGGAACTTCCACATCCTCACAGACCACAAACCTCTCACTTATGCGCTGGCGGCCAAGGGTGATGCTCACTCTCCTCGAGTAGCCAACCACCTGGGATTTATTTCCCAATTTACCTCGGATATCCGTCATGTCAAAGGAACTAATAATGTCATAGCCGATGCACTGTCTCGACCCACCATAAACCACGTCGTGACAAACCCAGCTCAGGTGGACTATTGTGTAATCAGTAAGGCCCAACGGGAAGACCCTGATCTGCAGCGATTACGAACATCTGACACAGCTCTCCGGTTCATCGAGATTCCCATGGAAGGTGGCGGAAGGATAATCTGTGACACCTCACGGACGGGAGCACTTAGGCCCTACATTCCTGCCCAGTTTCGCTGGAAAACGTTCTCAGTATTTCACTCCCTAGCACACCCAGGAGTA